ATTTCATGATGAACAACAAAAAATTTTATTAATAAAGCAATGCAAAAAAATGCTTTACCTACATTTTTAATAGGAGTTTTTAATGGCACTATTATTTGAGGGAACAGTAATTCAGTGTAAATAGTATTTTATATCGCAAAACATTTCGCCTCACTGAGTTAATTTGCTCAGAGGAAATGTATGATTTTTTTAAATAAATATTAATTATTAAATATTAAAATTAATATTAATTTCTATTTTCATTGTGACTCTTGTGTTTGTTGCAAGATAAACTGCAATAAAAGACAAACTTATTTTTAGACTGTGAACTTTGCCAGAGGGTGCTGTAAGGTAGGCAGCTACATCTAAATTAATTTTACTGGCTTACTAATATCAGGAGCTAACTAAACAAAACCATTCACAAGATGTTTGTGTTAAAAACAAGTAGCAACAGCTAAAAATCAAGGTTTCTCATATCTAAAACACTTCGACAATCACAGGCATTGACAGTTCACTGTAAAATTAGTCATTCTCACCATGATGGTTTTTCAGCAAGCAGAAAAAAGCACTAAAACAAGCTGTGGACAGGCGTTAAGTGTTAGAAAATGAAAGATATAGAAGATAAGCTAAAAACAGATGATTGTTGACTCTATTTCAGCAGGATGGCTGTGAGAAAAAGTGTGAGGAAGTCAATGTTAGAGACAGATTCCCCGTCTTGTGTTCCAGTACCTTTCAAGAGCCAAGCTAGAGCTGACTATCACCAGTCGATGTGCCTCGGAGGTGCCGAGGCTCGTGGGAACCTGTTCATTGTATCATATGTAGGAACGCTACCATTGCAGGGACAAAGACACGCACATACAGGGAAAAAAGTTACCAGACAGACTTAAAAATTTTTCCAGACTGTTTCTTCACTCTTTACTTTTGAGTAGCAAAGAAAAAAAGGGTAAGCAGCTCATAAATCAGAGAGCAAAACAGTCACAAAAGCTTCAATTGAGTGTTTTAATGAGCAATTGTAGTATTTTAGTACCAATCATTAGCACAACGCTCCTGTTAATGGATAAGCTTCATTCCAAAAGCTTTAAGAAAATTTAAAAAATGCGTTTATCCTAATATAAAGCCAAACTTAAATAGAAAGTTAAGTTCTTATTAAAAGTTAAGTTCATCTTGCATATTTGAACTGATCACAGCCTTTCTTGGAATGAAACACATTAAAGATAAAAAAGCGATTTAGACGTTTTACCCTCTGCTTTTAATTTAACACCAAATGTGATTGTTTAAGCTCATCTCCATCCAAACGTAACCAGATAAGACATGCAGTTGATTAGATGCAAAAATTATAAAAGTAGCACCATATGCAGCGACACACTTAATTGTGACATGCTTGCCTCTCTCTGAACAAAATGATCAGGTGAACATTCATCGGACTTTGGTTGACACTAAGCAGGAGGAAATAGAAGAAAGTTTTCATTCCACAATAATTTCCCAGCATCAGAGAGCAAGCAAATGGTTAGTGATGCCGCAGGTTTCCAGAAGACAACAGAGCAGAACATTTAACACCTGACAGTGAGGTAGTGGTAGCAAACAGTCATGGGCCTCAGGCAGGCTCCGAATGGGAACGATCAGCCCTGGCATTACGTTCCTGGCATTCCATGACAGTGACTTCAGCAGGGTTGCCAGATGTCAGTGACTCACGTTTTCCAGCCCAAAAAAATTTCATAAACCTCCTGGATATACGAAATCTCGCCCAATTTGAACCAAAGTCTATTGATCTCTTATGCCATAAATCTAAAGAAAAACATTTTTTACCCATCCTAACCTGCCAGATTGGGAAACATCCCAACCTGGCAACAATGCACATAAGACCGGAAACGTTAGCCTTTAGATGCAAAACCCCATCATGCACCGCATCACATTTTTGCTAAATATTCAAACATAAATTCGCCAAATATAAGAGGAACATCGTAGTTTGGTTTAAAGAAAGAATTTTAGTTTTTAGTATAATTCAGTTTGTTGCAGGGATTTTACATTTTGAAGAAATAGAAAATGACACCATATGCCAACCGTCACAAGGATGTGCATGACAAGAAAGGGCTATATATACTGAATGCATCATTTAGGTAGTTAACATTGTATTACTTCTTCAGCTCCTTGATTTATTTACTGTCACAGGTAGGTGCTTCGGCCACAGCGTAAGTGTTGGGGGCGATATGATTTAAGGAGGGCCGGCCCTCGCACTCTAAAATTAGGACCGGCCCACCAGGTAAATGCATGGTATCACAGATTATCAGTCCGAGCCTGGTCTCGGGTCAGTCGATGCATGGCAAAAAGGGGGTGGAGTCAGACTGATTCCTGGCAAAATAAACCCTCATTTTTTTCTGGCATGTAAAACAGTTTACGCCTTTGTGTAAAGACTGTATGTTTTCTATTTACATGAAAGTATATTTTCCTATCTTCATATTTACTGACAAAGGGGACTTTTTAGTATTTGTACTTTTCCACTTAGAGGCAGATTTCCACATATTGTGGCCTAATATAATATACAAATATGAGCCTCTTCTTCGTCGTCATCATTTTCCAACCCTTATTTATCTAGCACTTAGCTGCTGCTAACTTTATCTTACTGCAACAAGCTTCTGTAAAAGTAAATTTGAATTTGATTAATCTTATTTGAGGTATCTGAAAAAATCTATTGTGAAAAATGGAATTTGAGTGGTTTTTAATATGAAGAAACTGAATTTTTAATATCTGCTTTAGATATTGTCTGGAAAAGACATTTCACGTTTTACTAAAAGGAAGTAACTTTATAAAGTGGCCCATCCAGAGTCAAAAGCTGGCGTAATGGTGATGGTAGAGATCTTTCCAACTTCAAACGATAAATTGTCTACACAGAATTTAAACATATATAAAAAGAGTTTGATTATTATCTCACAAAGAAACAAGAAAGAAATTTAAGATTAAATGCAGATATATATAACTCATTTTTTATATTAATTTTAGATTTCTTCGTTATATTTTTTGGAGATTCCTGTTTAGGGTTGGGTAAAAAATAAAAGTAAAAAAATCCGTCAGTGGCATGATACATTTCGGGCCTAAGTTTATGCTGTCAAAAAAAAAAAAATAAATAAATGAAAAATAAAAGTAATCCACTTGCAAACACAACCAAATCTAAATCTTTAAACTCTCTAAAACTCAAAACATAACATAAAAATAAAAAATAAAAAAATTTATTTATTTTATTTTGATGATATGAGTAAAATCAAACACTTGTATGCTACCTATGGGTACAAATGTACCCATAAGTATGAGAAAAGAAAAAGTATATAAATAAGTGTTTCATACATTTTGATGGGTCCAAAATAAACTAATATTGACTTGTGGTTATTCCTCAAACATCAACATAAAAGTATTCTGCAGCAATAGAGTCAGCAGTTGAAAGTCATGAGACACGGAGTTCAGGCGTTGCATGATCCTAGTAGCTCTGTGATAGAGCTGGGAAGATGGTTTCTTCTCAGCCTCACAGATTTCCGACTTTAGCCAAAATGCAAACAATAGAGAAGCAAAACATGGTTGAACATTGGTTAGGCTTTTGAGTATTGGTGCAAACTTCAGGGAGCAAAGGGGCTCAGAGGTCACACAGAGGTTGCCCCTTTCTTTTTGGACATGTAAGTTAAATACTTGCTAAGATTAGCAGATCTGGCAACTGAATGGCAAACAGTACAAAACGAGAGTGCGAAAGTGTGCCACTAACTAGCTTGGAGGAGTAACTTTGTAGCTATCACCTTTAAGTTGAGTTTAAATTAATAAAAATAAGCATATATACAGCAGCACCAAAAAATAAATAAAAAAATAAAAAAATAATAATAATAAACCAATTTATAAATTTGATAAGTATTTTAAGGCCCCTAACATTTTGGGCCAGCATTTAATTAACTGTTAAGTTATTCCTGGTGTTCAGATTTGGCCATGTTTTTGTTGTTGCTAACTTCCCTACACTAAAAAAAAGCTTAAAAACTTTAAAACCATAATTTGCTCTTAATTGATCAAGTTTACCATGAAGTTATTATTATTATTCTTTGCTTGAATCAGCACTCATACGCTGTCCATTTCTATTTGTTCTCATTTAATATGGTAATAGAAAATATTGGCTGTCACCAACTTATAAAATGATGCATGTGGAAGAAAAAAATGTCTGAATATAAAAGTGTATAAATTAGTAGATATCTAACAAGTAAAGTAAACCACCCAAATATTCCTTCAGCTTTTTTAAATCATAAAAATACAGCTGGATATTAGATATTTTAGCTAAGTTTTGGTTCATTTATTCAGACATTTTAGTATTTCACTGTACAGTACATTCATTTCATTAAATGACTTCTTCCTCCACCTCTAAGTTGCATAGTAATTAAACGTTAGACCTGATAGGAATCAGATTTTATTCTAATTTATGAAATGTCTATAGTCCATTTTTTCCTTACCCCCCAGTCTTAAAGATGATTAAACCTAATTGTCATAATACATGATATTTCAGCTTTGAAGAAGACTGTAAAGCTACCATCTGATATTCATCAAGTACAAAAATGACTTTGGGTAGTTTTTTTTTTTTTTTTTTTAGAAAAGCAACCACTACCTCTCAGGTTAAATGTCTGCGTCAGTTATAATTACACCCACCTATAAATGTGAGTGTGTTAAAATGACTCCCCCTGCAGACATGCACCGCCCTTTATAAAACCGTAATTTATAAAACCAGCCAACTTCCCAGGCATGCATCCACCTCCACCATGACATGCAGTCAGCAGGACAAACAGGATGTTTACCTTGTCATCACAGGGTTAGGAACACCTTGTGAACTCTCAATATGATAACCATTATTACCAATTTCCATACTGAAAAATAAAACATTGTAAACAATGATGGGATGAAAATGAGAAAGATGACATGCTGAATAAAAATGGTTCATTAGAGATGGTTATGTCCTCAGTATAAACTTTAGTGCTTTATTTAGACAATATTTTACAAAAAAAACTTTAATGATTGCAAGAGCCCTTCGTGAAAGGTAATTTAAGGGACACTTCTTAAATTTAGCACACAACGAGAAGCCACATCATCCACTCACACCAGCAGTTTTGAAGCTCATAATTACAAACAAGCACCAATAATTTAGTAAACAGTTCTCTATATACATTATTTGGAAAGAAAAGCATGGAGTGAGAGAGGTTAAAATGAAGATGTTTGGGAAGAACATCTTACTTTTTCATGGGAATTGTCTCAACGCTACAGAGATACACAGGAAACAATAAGATAAAAACATTTATCGGGATGTTCAGCCAAAGAAATGCACCACAATATGTCCTTCTGTACAATCCAACACTGATTACACAGAAGAAGATGCACTTAATCAGCTGACACATAACAGAAATACTACAAAGTAGTAAAAGCTATGAGACCACAGAGTCTGGAAATGAAAACGAAATAAGAGCAGACTAGTATCGCCGTGTCTTTTTTTGTAAAGTGCAAAGTGCTTGACAGAAAGGAAAAAAAAAATGAAATTAAAGATGTTGGAGATGGAAATAGTATGAATGGTTATCACAAAGTAAAATGCCAAGTCCCAGATACAGAGGAGCTACAAGGAAGAGAAAAGTAAGCAGAAAATAATTCAAACTATAAGAGTTTCAGGGGTACAGAGCATTTTAAGAAAGCTTAAGAAACAGAAAACTATCAAATTATATTAGGATGCTAAATACTGATAAGCTTAATAAAGGGAAGGATGTCCTGCAATCAGAAAAAACGTAAATAATGTTTGTTTAGGTCCATTGATCCCAATTCAGATCTAACTGACAAAATCCACACTGCAGCTTTACAGCAGATACAATAAAATATATACAGGTATGTGTGGAAAAACAACTTACTCATCGTAGACGTCCTCCGTGTCCATCCTGCGGTAGTACTTGGCTAGTTTCACCGCTAGTATTACACTTGGGAGCAAAAATAGAGTGCTGCAGCCCAGACCCATCCAGAAAGTGTTCTGTTGGAAAGAGAATTTAACATGTTAAATCAGCATTAATCAACCTAGTACTATGCCTTGTAAGGTAACGACACCCCTTAAACTTTCTGTCACATTATGACCACAATATTAACCATATCGTATTGGGTGATCTTATTGAAAACATTGCAAATTACCCTGCAAAAGAAGGATGGTGTTAACTATATCAGCATTAGGTTCTACAAATATAAACCTGTTTGGAGGTTAATTTATCTTACACATCTTTACATTTTATACCTCCTATTAACCTATTTGATCTGTTTCAACAAATGGCCATCTTAAAATTTAATTTTACTTAACAGAGAAAAAGTGTCTTGTTTTTAAAATTATAATGATTTTTTTTTCTTTTTTTTTCAAAATATATTTATAAAGATGTTTCATTGGAATTATTTGTGGTAAAAGATAAACCTCTTACAGGTTACAAAATCCTGGAGACTGAGGTGCAGGTTCATCTTTAAAGTGAATGTATATTGATGTGTAAGAATGATTATGCTTTATGAATCTTTTGCAAGATGTTCAATTGTTAAATTGTCATTCTGTGAAGACTCATAGACAATTCGGGGATAAATTCTGACACATCGACATGTTTTAGAGAAAAAACCCAGAAAGAAAACCCACAGCTTACTACCATGGCTGGTTCTAGACAGGGGCCAACAGGGAATGACACACCCATAAAACTGGTCATCACCTTATTATTATGGCCCCTGTACAAAGGTTGTAATGGTAAAAACATTTGTTATGAATTTTTATGCACTGGCATGAAAGCCCTAACTGATTGGATCTATTTTATTTTTAACCTTTACAGTTTTATTTGAACAATGATTAAAATATTAAGATGCTTATTTTAGCTGCAGATGGAATCACGGCTTTCATCTGTTCTATCTGGGGATTCCAGAGCAGCAAATGGCTCATTATTTCTGTGTCTCACATACTATACAGAAATATTTAATATTTCCCTAATCTTATTGATTGGAGGTGGGGAGCTTTGGAGGCTAGATCTTAGTTTAGTCTTACAGAAATGAATCTTAGCATCTATTCAGTTTAATATGCCAAAATGTAAATAGGTTTGAATGCTTCTGTAATGTACCATAACTGCTGTCAGCTGATATTCAATTTGTGCGTTATAATATAGAACTGATGTATGCATATATGTCTTCAAGGAATTTAAGGAGTTAAGGAATTGAAGTTGTTAAAGTTGTTTTAATGTTTCTAAGATGCTTCTGAAGCCTTTGATCATGTAAATCAGAAAACTAAGACACTGGTTGGCAAACTAGACTATGCAGATTTTGACGGACAGATATGTATCCGCACCCTTTTAGTTTGATCATGGAGTCAGATTAGGAAGCATTTTAAAATGATCCAATTTTCATATGAATGTCATATCAAAATAGATAAACCTGTTCAGAACTGGATGTATGGCTGGAGATAAGATTGTAAACCAATGAAAATATGCTGACGTGTTACGACTTGGTAGTTTTTAGTCCTAGCTTTTCTGGTCCCTAGCAACTTCTTAATGTATGTTTAGTATATAGTGTAGAATACCATGTTCATATTTACTCATCAAAAATTTCATTTTATATATCATACTAAAGAGGACAAAGATAGAACACTCTGGGTTTAAGTTGCCTGATGTTATGCTCTGTGTCTATTATTAAGTGTCTGAAGTTTTGCTTATGTATTAGAAGCCCAATGGGACAAAATATTCAATTTATCTTACACGCTGATATAAACACAGAATCACAACTATTCACTTGCATTTTAGTGCTATATGCAACAGAGTTTAGTAGTATAGGTTTAGTTGTACATGCAACAGAATTTAGTAGTATATGCAAAAGAGTTTAGTAGTATAAGTTTAGTAGTATATACAAGAGAGTTTAGTATATGTTTAGTTTTCCTTGTGCGAATGTATTATTTACAATTAATCTTTTGCCTAAAACTTTGTTGATATGACGTTTCCCTTTTGTGTAAATGTTACTATTGATGTAAGAAATGCACCAAAGTGATTGAGAAAAACTATAACAGCATAAGGCCTGGTTATGTTGGATCTGTCGTTACTAGTTCTACAGTGGTTACCATTGAATCCACCAAGAAACTACAGGTCATGATCTGCGCTGTATCCAACACGTTGCTGAAAGGCTTGCATGGTGCGACCTCCAAAGCCAACTAGAAAGAATGAAAACAGGAAATGTTAAAGCCCATTAAGGAGTAAACACGAACATTTCTAAACTGTTGCACACCAGGACTGTGTATGCTTCCTGTTCCACAATAACAACAAAAACACTAAGACTGAATCAAAGCAGTTTTATTGACCTGTCCGTGAATCAGAACTAAAACGTCTTATTTTTTTTACATTGGTTTGAATTCCTTGGTTTTACTGCAGCAGAAACCAATGCGCCTCAAAGCAAATTCCTTCAATTAAAAAAGCACTGTAGCTTTTATAGTCATCCTTTCTAAATTTACCCCAAAACTCTTATGCAAGTTTTTTTTTTCCCCCACTTCATAACGCAGAGCCTTTTCATAACTCCTCAAAATGCACCCTGGTTAAACTCATTGCAATAAACATCTACATATAATGTTGAAAAACAAAACACCACATCATGTTCTCAAATGGTAGATCAACACTTACTGATGTTTTGACCCATTCTATGTATTGATTAAAATAGCCAATAATGGTTGCTGAATACTTTCTTGTTTCCTGTAACAAAATGGAACAACCGCTGTTAGTTTAACATAACTATTACTACTCAGGATACAAACTGATATGATTTATTTACCTGATTGATCAAAAGTGTTGCATTGTGAGAGATAAGGTGCTGAGCTGCTTCAATGGCCTCAAGAACATCTGTTACTTTATTCTATAGAGAAGAGAGTCAGTATGGATGCAACTGTAAATGTGTTAACTATGAGGTGTTATAGTGTAGAGTTTTCTTACTGGTAGATCAGAGGCTGTCCTCTCCAGAAATCTCATACTCTGGTTTAATGCACTCTTAGAAAAGAGAAAAAAATAACGATTATCAGAGATTAGTGCTAGAAGTCAAAGGTAGACTTATAGAAAACTGAAGGCAACACAGATATGATGAGTTCCACGGATGAAAATGTTGTCAAGCTGGATGATTTTCTTCCCAAAATCAAATATCCATGGTGTGATGAGAGAAAAATACAACATGTAAACAAAAAGAAACATAAAAAATGTCTCTTTTGTTTTATCATTGACAAATATAAAACATTTTTAGGTGGATATTTTGTACTATTTTGGCATGAAGGCTTTGGATATAAGCCACATGTTTGTGATGAGCATATGCATACAACAGAAGAAAAAAATGATTTACTGTGTTTTCAACAAAACATAACATCTGAAAGATTCGTTTCTTTAAAGCTTTCTGTAAAAAGGGACACAAAGCATATCATAAATACATTTGTGCTTACCCTTGCTCTAACATATTTCTTGAAGGTGAACAGAGAAACAAGAAGAACAGCAAAAACATAAATAAATAAAAGTTGTAGAGAGAACCAAAAGTGCTTGCAGCTGTACGTCCTAAACAAAAGTAAATTTCGAATGATTTTCTGTTTAAAAATATGTATATTTCCTTAGTTATATAAATAATAACAATAGTAGTACTTTTATTGATTTATTTTTTTTGCACATTTTCAACATAAAATTTGACCACAGTTGTATTTACATAAAACCCCTCTCAACGCTGCAAAATTAAATTCAAATATCTGGTTGTAAAGGCAGGAACATTGATAAGGGATTTCTTGATTTAATTTAAGAATTTAGGGAATGAAAGTGAACCGGCAAAAGTACAACATAGCGAAAAGAGAATAATGATTACACTAAACAGGCCAAAAGGAACTATAAAATATTATATTATTTGTTTTTTTTATTTTATTATCAAACACAAATGTTTAATCTCAGGGAACTTTACAAGAAACACAAACCTACTTTCAGAAATATCAAATCATATTAATCTACAATGAAATCTTACATAGAGATTGAAACTGAATTTAATATCTTTAAAACCACCAAGTTTCTCCTAAATGCTGCGTTTAGGACTTTCTCAGGACGCTCCGAGTAAAAAACAAAGTTGGAAATTGTTGAAAGTATGTCAATATTTTCATATTACTTCTATGTGGAAAGCTAACTATGTAAGTCTGGTCTACTCATAACCAAAGTTCTGGAAAAATTTTCTTGGACACAGCGAGGATTACCATGGCTTGCTCCATTGGAGCTATCTGTTGTCTGTGGATCCGCTGAAGAGTGGCCACATGGCCTTTCAGAGCTGTCTGCAGACGTCCCCTGGGCTGAAATAAAAGACAGAAAACAAGTTGAGGTTTATTCCCAAGAAAAGAAACAAACAAAAGACTGCATTCGTCAGATTCCTGCTGCCCGGGGAGAGTTCTTTTCTTAAACGTTTCTGTCACGTAACAGACAACAACGCTTTCCTTAGTTGTTGTCAATCAGACATCACAGAAAGAATCATTTTTTTATTTAATAATTACAAAGTCAGCAAGAAACACTTAAATCCAAATCTATAAAAATAAACTGAAACTATAAACTGAGACATTAAATTAAAGTTTACCCAACCATACATTTTTAATGATCTTATTTAGTTTCAGCATTTGGAAAGGATAATTTATTTTGTGTTTGCCAGCGCAACCAAATCTGCACACCAATAGAGACTATTTACAAAGACCAAGGCCTCCTTGCAGCATTTTAAGTCAATAGATGCATAAAAAATAACAACATGGAGAGAAAAGGTTATATAAAACTCGTCAACGTAAACTGCATCAACAAAAGAGGCCAAATCAGCTTCCTTACCATCAGGTCTGTCTGGGACTCCAGCTCTTTGGCGAACGAGACAACATCCACCACAGTGACACCTTTATTAACCTTAAGAGAGAAAAAAAAGGGAATGCAATGTATCAGTTGTTTAATAAAGGAGGTTGGAGGACGCACAGAGGTTCAATAAGTGTTTCAAAAGTAAAGAGTTTTTTTTTTTTTCTTGCCCTGATATGTTTGCTATTTAAATGCAGCAAGAGAGTGAGATTCAGACCATCAACACATAATAGGAAGGCTAAATGGAGTAAACAGGGTATAATAAGTTCCAGCCCACCGTGACAACACTCTTCAGTGTGGAGGCCTTAACTAAAGGCTGAAGAAAAGATAGATAAATGCCGACAATTGGTCAGTTTTATGCTTTTAGGCTTTCATTCTTTATAATGAAACACGCTGGATTTTGGGAATGACATAGAAAGTGAGGATTTACATTTAACACAGTATGCAACTATTACAGTATTTTCTAGACTATAAGCCGCTACTTTTCCCCCACTGTTTGAACCATGTAGCTTATAAGAAGATCCTAACCGCCAGAGGAGGAAGTGATAGTTGGAAATAAAATTAGGGGTTAATTTTCATTTAACACAAGAACATGGTAGCAGCAAGCACGGTGGAGAACAAATGTCCCGGATTCATACATTTTGCCATTTATTTGTCTCATTAAAGCTGCCAAACCAATGGAGAGACTGAGCTCAACTCAGACTGGGCTAAAAAATGGACGAAACCCCTTTTTTCAGTAGAAGCTCTCACTGCTGTGAGCCAACAAGGTAACAGGAGCTAGCATTCTTCTTCGTCCCATAGTCCAGGGGCTATATATATAGAGCTCCCCCTACAGGTTTGGTGGGAGACAGCTCAGTAGATATCAGCGGATTATAGCCTGGTGTGTTATATATATATATATTAGTGCTGTCAAAATTATCGCGTTATTATCGCGTTAACGCAAGGCCATTTTAACGGCGATAATTTTTTTTAACGTGAGATTAACGCTATGTGGTTTTATGGTACAATTTTCCAAGTACATCCCGCTGCAGCCCACGGGAAGGCAGGGCTATTTTCCCCCAGTGTATGCATTTCTCATAGGCTTCCAGAGTGGAGCTCCTCAAGGGAAAAAGACGCTCATACACTGGGTGACGCTAGTGCCTTTTCTTTAAGCCCCACCAAACCACCAACAAACAAGTTGAGTGTCTGGTAACTAGTAGCAACCTGAAAAACGCTGAGAAAACAGATTACTGTGGTGAAATGGAATCTGGCACGGCACTCTTGCTGTCTGTATACGCCACAGGTCAGTATCGTGTGTGTGTGTGTGTGTGTGTGTGTGTGTGTGTGTGTGTGGGTGGGTGTGTGTGTGTTCTCATTTTTGTTAAGAGGCTGAAAAGTAACTTTCTAGAG